ATGGGGGGAGGGCTTGGAAAGGGATGGGGGGAATATCCCAGTACCTATAAAACTGTGTCACATAATGCAATGTGATTAATTAAATAAATAATACTTTTTTAAAGAAATGAAAATAAAATAAAATAAAAGATGTGCCAGGGACGCACATGTATTCAGTACTGGAGGGTCTGCATTTCCCCATGCTAGTGTCCTGCTAACTAGCAACCTTGGACACATCAGGTGACCACTACCACCGGTTCCCTGACACCCACAGGGGAGACCCACATTCAGTTCCAGCCTTCTGACTTGAGCAAGCCCCCATCCTGGCTGTTGGGGCATTTGGGGAAAAAGAGCAGATGGAAGATCTCTTTTATTCTGTCTTTCAAAAAGTTAAAAGAAAAAAAAAAGGCCCCGTGCAATGACCCAGTGGCTAAATCCTCACCTTGCACAATCCAGGACCCGATATAGGCACCAGTTATATTTTGGCCGCTCCACTGCTTGTGGCCTGGGAAAGCAGTAGAGGATTGCCCAAAGCCTGGGACCCTGCACACATGTGGGAGACCTGGCTTCAGAACAGCTCGAGTCATTGGAGCCATCTGCAGAGTGAACTAATGGATGACGGATCTCCTTCTCTCTCCAAATCTGCCTTTCCAATAAAAATAAGTAAAATTTTGGGGAAAAAAAGGAAAGTAAAAAACAAGACCAAAATGAATAAAAATTATATAATTAATAGCTGCTCTATCATAGGCAAAAAAAAAAAAAGTTTATACAGCTATATACAGCTTGTTTGCCACTGTCACCCTAACACCTAGCAGCAGTGCTGGGCAAGTCTGGAGACTCAGTCACTATCTGTGGAGTGAATGAAAGAATTTTTTAAAAGGAGGGCAAAGATGATATTCCAATTAGTTAAGATATTATCTGAGAGGGGGCAAGTAGCCCTGCTGCTTAGTCACCGTTTGCAATACCCTTACCCATAACCAAAGTTCCTGGGTCCAACCCTGGCTACGCCACTTCTAACCCAGTTTCCTGCTAATGTGCACCCAGGGACGCTGCAGGTGACAGTGCAAGCACTGCAGTTCCCACTGCCCTTGTGAGAGACCAAGATGGAATTCCAGGCCCCTGGTTTTGGCTTAGCTCAAACCTAGCTACTGTAGGGAACTCAGGGTATGAACCAGCAAATGGAAGCTCTCTGCCTATCTCTTTCTTTCAAATAAAAGTCATGTGCCTATACACTTACACATATATACACATACATAGCCTACTGTCCAACAAATAGAAGAACGCATCTTTCTGCGATGACTCATTTATTCAGTCAACAACAATGAATGAAATATGTCCCAATTTAGGATACATCAGTTACAAAAACACAAAAATTCCTATCTTCGCAGAGCTGACATTCTAGTGGGGAGAGACAGCAATGACAGACATAATATGGGGAAGATCCCATAGGATACAGGAATTATGTTGGAGTAAAATTATTTCAATTTTAACCAACAGTGAAATCTTAAAAAAAAAAAAAAAGTGAGGCTTAACAGTTAAGTCTCCCTCAAAGCCAGCCTCCCATACGGGCACCTGATCAAGTCCATACTGCTTCCCTTCTGATCTAGCTCCCTGCAAATGTGTCTGGGGAAGCAGTAGAAGATGGTCCAAGTACTTGTGCACCTGTGCCCACGTGGGAGACATGGGCGATTCTGGCTCCTGACTTCAGATCAGCCCAGTATCATTCAGGGAATGAACCAGTAGATGGAAGATCTCTCTTCCTGTAAAACTGCCTTTCAATCAAATAAATTTTCAAAAAATTAAAAACAAGAAGAAGATGAATGCAGCTATCACAAGTGAGTAGAGCTAGAACTGTTAGAGCAGAGGTCGAAGGGGCGAGCTGGGTGCAGTGGATAGAAAGCAGGCACCAGAAGATGTGGAAGACTCCACGCAGTGCTACTTAATAGAAGCAGAATGTGAACCACAAGTGTAAGTTTTTTTTAAGACATTACTTTATCTGAAAGGCAGAGTGACAGAGAGGAATAAGAAAGCGATCTTCCATCTGCTGGTTCACTTTTTCTTTTTTTGTTTTTAATTTTTATTTTTATTGGAAAGTCAAATATACAGAGAGGAGGAGAGACAGAGAGGAAGATCTTCCATCCACTGATTCACACCTCAAGTGACCGCAACAGCTAGAGCTGAGCTGATCCAAAGCCAGGAGCCAGGAGATTCTTATGGGTACGAAGGCTTTGGGCCATCCTCAACTGCTTTCCCAGGTCACAAGCAGGGAGCTGGATGGGAAGTGGAGCTGCTGGGATACAAACCAGTCCCCATATGGGATCGCAGCACAAGCAAGGCAGGGACTTTAGCCACTAGGCTATCGCACTGGGACCCATGCTGGTTCACTTTCTAAATGCTCACCACAGCTGGAGCTGGACCACATGAAGTCACAAGCCAGGAATTCCACCAAAGTTTCCAACATGAATGGCAGGGACTCCACTTCTTGAGTCCCAATCCACTATCTTCTCAAGCACATTAGCAGCAAGTTGGAGTGGAAGCAGAATAGCTGGACCTTCATCCAGCACTCTAATGCAGAACGCCATCATGTGAATATTCCATGCAGCAGCTTAACCTGCTGTATCACCACACCTGCCACCAGCACAAGTATAATTCAAAAAGTGTTGAGAACAGGGCCCGGCATGATGGCTCGGTGGCTAAATTCTAGCCTCACACACACCAGGATTCCATATGGGCATCTGTCCATGCCCTAGCTGCTCACTTCCCATCCAGCTCCCTGCTTGTGGCCTGGGAAAACAGTAGAGGATGGCCAGAAGCCTTGGGACCCTGAACCCTCATGGGAGGCCCTCGTGGCTCCTGGCTTTGGATTGGCTCAGCTCTGGCCATCACGGCCACTTGGGGAGCAAACTACCAGACAAAGGATCTCCCTCTCTATAAATATGCCTTTCCAATAAAAATAAATAACTTTTTAAGAAATTAAGCATAAAAGGTTAAAAAAACAGTGTAATTACTAATAAAACCTAGTATATTTTTACTATAGCTAATATTCCAAAATATTTCCACTTCAGTATCAAGGTAAAAATATTAGGATAGAGGCTGGCATGCTGGTGCAGTGGATTAAGCCATGAGCTGCAGTGCAAGCACCCTATCAAGAATGCAAGTTCAAGTTCCACCTATTCTGTTTTTGCTTCAGCTTCCTGTTGCGTAGCTGGGAAGGCAGCAAAAGTCCCAACTGCTTGGACCCCTGCCACCATATGGGAGAGCAAGATGGAGTTCCAGGGTCCTGGTTTTAGCCTGAGCCACCAGTTGTTGCGGGCACTTGAGCAGACTGAAGAGCTCCAGCTCTCTATCACACTGTCTTTCAAATAAATCACTAAAATACATACATAATGGGGACAGCACCATGGCATGTCAGCCCAAGCCTCCGCCTGCAACTGCAGCACCTCCTACGGGACTGAACTGACCTTATGTAAGAGAATGAAGGATGGAATCCTGATTCCTGGGACAACAAAGAAACAGAATGAGGCTAGGAGAAATGTGAGGAGGGAAGTACAGAAGGATTACAAGAGTGACGTATTCTGGATGCCAAGAAAAGGAAATTCAGGAAAGGAACAATTATCTTAAGATCTCTTCTTACTTCTTTTAGTTTTGTCCAACGTGGGATTTCTGCCATATAACAATGCCATCAATACACTTGCGGGAGTTCACGTGCAGGTTAAGCTGTGGCTTGTGATACAGAGAGTCCCCTTCAGGGCATCCGGTTGGTGCCAGCTGCTCCACTTCCCTTCCAGCTCCCTGTGTGCTGGGAAAGCAGATGCCCCAGCTGTGTGAGCTCCTGCCACCCATACGGGACACTCAGACAACATTTCAGGATCCTGGTTTCAGCCTGATCCAGTAGCAGCCCAATCACGGATGCTGAGGAGTAAACCAGTAGACAGAAAATTTTTGTCTCTCTCTGCCGTTCTGCCTTTCAAATAAAATAAATACATCTTTATATTGTAGATACACAAATGTTTGTTTGTTCACTGTATTTACTTATTTTTATTAGAGAAGCAGATTTATGGAGAGAAGGAGAAATGGAGAGAAAGATCTCCCATATGCCGGTTCACTCCCCCAAGTAGCCTCAATGGCCAGTGCTGAGCAAATATAAAGCCAGGAGCCACAAATTTCTTCTGAGTCTCCCACACGGGTACAGGGTCCCAAGGCTCTGGGCCATCTGCCACTGCCTTCCCAGGGCACAGGCAGGGAGCTGGAAGGGAAGTGGAACAGCCGGGACACAAACCAGTGCCCATATGGAATCCAGGTGCTTGGAGATGGAGGATTAGCCAACTGAGCTATTGTGCCAAGCCCTATTTGTTCACTTTTGAGCAGCAAATGAAAGATGCTGGACTTGACATTGAGCTTTCCTGCGGAATAGTCAAAGAGAAAACGGTGGCATAGTGCTAAAGAAACCTGGCTTAGGATTCCTTCACATCACTGACTATCAACTACGGAAAGCAGATGCTATACAATTAGCTTCCCAGTGACAAACGCTGATCCTAATTAGAGAACACCTGCAAGTTTGAGAGCTCAATCTCCTACAAAGATGTATCCAGAAAACATAAACGAGCATCTCTGAAAACGGCAAAGCACGCTGATAGAAGCCACACACACACGTACCACTTTTCTTTCTCTTTCTAGAACTCGGTTCTTCCGGCAGCTGTCTCCACACCCCTCCCGGGGACCCTCATTCTCGGCATAGGAAATCCAGCCCGTCCCTGCCCTCCTCTCCGGGGCTGGAAGGCTGTCGCGGTACATCCCCCTCCCACCCGAGTCTGAGAGAAGAAGGCACCAGAGAAGAGTGAAACCCGTTAGGTCACTTCTCAGAAGGACTGATCCGCTGCAGACCTGCAGCCCGGAGAGACCACGCGGACTTCGGACACCCTGGGCAGGCTCGTGCCTGGGAGAGTCCGACTTAGAGGGCGCTGCAACCGGCCGAGTCGGAGCCGCAGCCGCTGTCCGCGCCCGGGAACCCACCGCCTCACCTGCACCGAGGCACCTTATGGCCGCCGCCATATTGACCTTCCCGGATTGTGCTGACGAAATCGGTCGTACGTCCCAACTAGGAAGAACTTTAAAAAAGGGTTCCGCCCTGAAACTAGCGAAGTGGGAAGGAATTAGAAGGTGCAAGAGGAACGGGGAATTGAGCACCTAATTTCGCTGGCGGCGTGGCGGTGTCACTGTCAATCTTCCGTGCTGCTCAGAGTCGGGTTCCTTGGTTCCTGTGCGAGGGGCACTGAATCACTTAGGAAGTTGCGCGCGTGCTGGCCGTGCCGTGTTTACTTCAATCGTCTTGTATTTCCTTTTTGATCCTGCAGGTGAACTCAGAATGGTAACTTTAATAGATGGCGAGAGCACCTAGGACCCAGCCTCTAAAATCTTGAAAAGCAGGAAACCTGAGGAATGCACGGGCTTCCTCTGCCCCCTTCCCAGTATGAAAAGACCTTTTTAAAAAGAATTTCTCAGACTTGTCGCCACCACCCGAGGAGCAGGGCCCGCCAGTGAACAAACTGCCTTTTTATAAACGGGGCAAGATCAGATTTTATGTTAATCTTTCATGGGTCTGCTCGCCATTTGCTCCCTGCTGGCAAGCCCCCTCGGTAGGATCGATTGTACTAGACATCCATGTAACACTTTCAGACCTAAAAGGGCAGATTTGAAACCTACGCGCACAAGTTACTCTGCAAGGGAAAAAAAAAAAAAAAAGGTGAGTCCTTTCCATTACATCATGGCTGTTGGTGTGATTTGTCCAAAACACAGCTGATTTCGGTTGTACTACTTCTCAGTTTAGATTAAAACATACTGTATACACCATTTCTCACCTCTACGACTTGGTGCGCTTGTCCCTTCTGCTTTTCTGCTTGGAGTCTTTTCTGCTGTATCACTAAGTAATTTTTCTTTCTTTTTTAAGACGTATTTATTTGAAAGAGTTACAGAAAGAGAGAGATTTTTCATTTTCTGGTTCATTTCCCCAGATATCAGCAATAAAAGCAGGAGCCTGGAACTTCTTTTGGATCTCCCATGAAGGTACAGGGGCCGGAGCCCTTGGGCCATCTGCTGCTATGTTCCAAGGTGTTTGGCAGGGAGCTGGATTAGAAGTGGAGCAGCTTGGACTTGAACTGGCACCCACATGTGCTGTGGGCATTGCAGATGGTGACTTCCAAACCAACCCCTGGAACTTACCTTTATAAACATTACAGCTAAAAGTTTAATCACCGATGAAGCCTTTTCCCAGACATTAAATTCTTGAGGCCACTTCACGCTGGTTTTATACAGTACTCAGCCCTTGACTTTTGTTTTTGTTTTAAATGTTGAGACATAATCCACGCATCACTCACCGATTTAAGTTGCACAATTCCATGGCTTTTAGCATATCCTCACAGTTGCACAACTATCGCTGCAGTTTCACACTCCACCCCAGTGTGAGCTCTTGCTGTAGAGAAAGCGTGCCACTTGTTTTTGTAGAATCAGCATTTCCTACAGTTTTAAGCACATTACAGGCCCTCCATACATATTCGCTGAACGAATGAATGTATGAGGGAACTGCAAGATGAGGAGACTGTGGAAACAATGGCCTCACCCAATTTCCTGTAGCTCTTGACCCTTTACACTCTAACCACCTATGTAAAAATCATGAAAAGTAAAAATTTTTTATATTTTAAAGACAATATGCAATTTTCAGAAACACTTTAAAGCCCTCTCCTGTGTAACATGAACTGGTGACAACTCTATGACAAGCCTGCAAAATTGCCTTGTCTCCATGGCACCACTGGCAGGAAAATGACAGGATCAAAAGGATAATATCCCTAATGCTTTCTTTCACATCTGTGTGTAGTACTCACCTATACAAAATGGAAGCTGTCTCATTTGAAGGGTTAATGCTGTGTCACAATGGGATAAGCCACTGCTTACAGCATCTGCATCCCTTATGGGAGTGCCAATTGGAGTCCTGGCCATTCTGCTTCTGATCTATCTCCCTGATAATGTGCCTGGAAAGTCAACGGAATATAACCCATGTCCCCAGATGCCTGCCACTCTTACAGGAGACCTAAACTGAATTCCTGGCTCCTGCCTTCTGCTTTTCCAGACCCAGCTTTGGGGGCATTTAGGAAGTGAAGCAGCATGTGGAATCTCACTGGCGCTGCCTTTCAACTAATAAACAGAAGCTTTTTAAAATATAAGTTTGTTTTATAAAAAATATTCTAATTTATTGACATATCTTGTTAATATCTAAGCAGTTACTTTAAAAGTTCCACAACCAAACATAGTCTTACTACCCTCTTTCCTGTAGCCCTTGACCCTTTGTGCCCTAATCAAAATAAATAAATAAATGTATGTATATAAAAGTTTCACAATCATGTGTGATGTTTGTGTAAAAAATTCAAAGAACTTGAACTTGAATTTATCTTTGTAACTTTCTTTCCTCTCTTGATCCTCCCTTCCATCCTCCCCTCTCTTCACAGGTATATATCTACCATGTGTCAAATAGTGTGCTTAGCTATATGGAGCTATAGAGAAAATTACTGATGCAGTCATTTCTTTCATGATGCTTAAACACTATTTCTGCTTACAAGTAAATGTCAAAATTAGAGCAAATTCATTCAGACCTTTCCAGAAAAAAAGAAAAGAAAAACTGATTAAAGGCGCTGATCCTTAGATTCCACATTTACTTCCTTTCCATAGTTGGTGTTGTCTGGCTAAATGCCCCGATCTGTGAACTCTTTTAAGATTTGTTTTTTTTACATTTCTACAAAATGCAGAGAGAGAGAAAAAGAGAAAGAGAGAGATCTTCCTTCTACTAGTTTACTCCCCAAGTGGTCACAGCAGGCAGATTTGAGCCAGCCAAAGCCAGGAGCCAAGAACTCCATCCTGACCTCCCGTGTGGATAGCAGGGGCCCAGGCACTTGGGCCACTTTTTCCTGCTTTCCCAGGTACATTGGCAGGGAACCAGTTCACAAGCAGAGCAGCATTTTGGCATAGGATGCTGATGCTGTAAGCAGGGGCTTAACTCATTGTACAGACCAACCTCCATCTGTGGACTCTTCTATATCTCTGTTGAGATGTAAGAGGAGAGAACTTAAACATTCATTATGGACACAAAATTGCACCTAATATGCATACGGTAATGGCCTCACTAAAGCACCATCCTGTACAGATACAACTTGGTTAACTGTCCCCTTTGAACATCAGAACTTGGTCACAGTAATCAGCTTGGATCCTGGGTTCCTGTGCACAGAACAATTCATGAAGAGGTGTTTGTTTGTTTGGCTTATGACTTCATTAAAATTACAGACGTATTCTTTGAAAACTATAAAACTCTGAAGTGGGAACTCCGTGTCTCTTAATGGTTCACTGCATAGTCAGCTTCTCTGGAATAGAGAGGAATTGCTCCGGGGCCAAACTGTCCAGTATGGTCACTTACTAGTTATGTGACTTAGAGCTATAAGTCACTGAACTTTGGTTTCCTCACCTGTGATATGGGATCAATAATAAAAGAACTCCCAGCTACTAACATAGGAACTGGCATAGAGTAAGCTCCCAGTGAATAATTATTATTAAATTTAATTGTGTCGTTATTAGGGAAATAGAAAGAACACTTAACCTCAGAGGCAGATGGAACAGTTATTCAGTACCCATCTTCCAATAGCTGCTTATTTCTCTTTAAGTATTTATTTATAATCCTCTTTTTGAAATGTTTAGCGGTGTGTGTATTTATAAAGCAGAGAGAGAGGAGAGATAAGAGAGATACCTCACCCACTGCACTGCTCTCCAAATGTTGACAACAGCTGGTGCTTGGCCAGGCAGAAACCATGAGCCAGGAACTCTATCCTTGTTTCCCACGTAGGTGGCAAGGGCCCAAGAGCATCAAAACCGTGAAGAGCTGGATCCAAAGCGGAGAGGCCGTTAAACCAGAGCTCTGATATGGCTCTGACTTGTGCCACAGCCCTTCTTGCTACGTATTCACTTTCCTCTTACTCAAAAGGCAGTACAGCAGACAAATCTTCCATCTGCTGCTTCACTCTCCAACTGCCTGCAAAAGACAGAACTGGACAAGGCTGAAATCAGAATCAGGAAATCTATTCGTGTCTCCCAAATGGGTGGCACCTGCACCATCATGTCCTGCCTCTTAGGATGCATTATTGAGGAGCTGGATTGGAAGTGGAGGTTCCAGGATGTGAATCAGTACTCTGATGTGAATGCATGCATCCCAGCAGGAGGCTTATCCTACTGCACCACAACTTATGCCCTGCTTCTTTCTTAGTATGACCCATGCTACTTTTGTCCTCATACATGCTGGGTGTTACCAGGCATGTATGACACCCAGGAAAGGATTCTATTAGTATTTTTGGAACACTGCTTTAGTGTGTCTTTATGCAATTCTTCCATGTTCATTTTAAAATACAGCTCTTTCCAGTTGATTTCTAGAAAGGTTGATACAGCATTAAGGGTGTCGGCAAAATGCCAGCTGTTAACCTGTCCAGATAATTCTCTGGACAAAGATTTGATATATCTGCCTACCTTTGTGGCTGTCTTCGTCTGTATTCTTTGCCTTCTTCAACCGTCTTTCAGTTGAGCAAGAATAGTCACTTCCCATTTGGGGTTCAATTTGAAATGAATTCTTTTTTTGAAATGAATTATCTTACTAAACATAAACAAGGGACTCCAAGGCACACAAACGATCTAGCAGTTAAGACACTAACTAAGATAACACATCACCTTAACTGTGTAAACATCATCAAAAATAAAACATTTATTACATATTTTAAAAGATAGCACATCAAATATGTGAGTGCCCAGAGTCAAAGTTCCAGTTCTGCTCACAAGCCCAACTTCCTGCAAACGTTGACCCTAGGCGGAAGCAGCGATGGTTCAAGGAATTGGCTCTCGGGCCATAGAAGAGCTGAGTTGACTCCTGGCTCCCAGCTGTTAGCTTCTGCCGGCACCAGCCCCAGCAACTGGTAGCACTTACTTAGATGATGAATTGGAGGAAAAGTGTTCTCTGTGTGTCCATCAACATATTTTCCCTCTCTGTCTCCCAAACTAGTTTCTAAACAAAACAACACAAAAACCTCCAAGGCATATTTCATATTGCACACCAGAACCATGGGAAAGATGTATT